CCCAGCAACCGCAACCACAACCGAAGATGGCAAACAAGTGTTTCACATTCCCGCTATCGCACAGCAATTGATAAGTGCTGATCCGAACACACTAACACTGGTTGATGATACAAAACTCCTCGGTACTGCACAGCAGCCACTACAAATAACGGCAGTGCCACAGCTTATCGGTGTCCCTCATCATCACATCAACAGCCGACACGGAGAAGCCTCACATCAGGTAAGCCGCGTCCTTTTCGTTGCTTTTTATTAAAAATTGTTTTTTTTTATTGTAATAAAAAGAAGGGGAAATAAAGATTATTTTTCTAAAAACAAAAAAAAAAATTATTTATTTTGTTTGTAATTTCGAAAATCTTTTCTTTGTGTGTAATTTTTTTTTTTGTACGTAAGGGGAATAGGCATGTCCTTTTAATACGCAGTTTTGTTATTTTGGGATTAACATATATCCAGATTTACTTATGAAGCTTAGCATTTTTCAAGACTTTAGATTTATTTTGAGAAGTTTTCACGGGCTCGTAATGTTTACCACGCACACCCGGAAGTTGATTTTGAGCTGAATGAAACTTAGGTGGACGGAGTATATCCTCTTAAAATTACAGTCCTATAGCTTCTCAGATCCCCGAGTTGTAAACTTACATTTGGATTTTTTGAAAATCACTTCTCCCATTGAAAATATTTTAGGTTGTACTGACTCAACAGCAACAGGTAGTGCCGCAGCTTGCTGAACTGCATAACGTGCAGGAGACCGGTACTGTTGAGGAAGCTGCAGGAGTGCATGAGTCGGAAGCTCATGGCCAAGTTGATACGCACCGACAGCTGCATGTGCATCATCACCAGCAGCAGCAGAATTCGCAACAACAACAGCAACAGCAGCAGCAGCAGCAAGCTCAGCAAATTATAGTTACGCTACAGGAACCGCAACAACCGATGCAACATCAAGTAATATATATATGATTATTTATTTTATATTTCAGTCAATCCTTCACTGATTTTAACTGGCAACTTCTCCATTCTTCTCTTTCCTGAGCATCAGCCACATAATTCCGAGCGAGCAAATTTTTCGCTTTAGTAACCCCTTGCCCTTATTCTTTTTGATACTGTTGGCGGATCCAAGAGTAGGGGAGGCGATGGGTCTACGTCGGTAGGACGCACGAGCGAAAGTGGGGAGGGAAATTGTCCGAATCCCTCCTCCTGTCGTGTCAAAACACGCAAAGTGATAGATAAAATTTGTTCTCGAATGTTGTATTTTGTCCTTTTGTGTGTATATGTAGAAATACGTAAAAAAGGGGATCACAAGGAAGGGGAAGGTTTTTAAACTCCTGGGGGTCATTAAAAAAAGAAGAGGGGCTGGACTGGAAGAAAATTGCGGCTGCAAAAGGTGGATTGAGCGGGCAGAAGAAGACTGCGGGCGAAATCCGGTGCCAGCAACTGTGAGATCTATTGGAGTTCTTGATTTTGTTGTTTATACGTGTACCGCTGAATTGCGTTAACGTTATGCTTTTGGGTTTGGTATATTGGAATAAGAAACTTATCTTTCTACTTGGAGCGCAGTTAATTTGGTCAGAAGCGTAATTCAAAAGATCAACATGGTGCCGAATGCAGGGGACGAACCTGCGACCTTCTATCAACATGGGAATTACTGTATCAAGCAAGGAATTCGATGGAAATTTATCACCCCAATGGCGCCTTGGCAAGGTGGAGTGTACGAAAGGCTCATCGGTATAACAAAAGCAGCATTCAAACGCGCCATGGGAAGGCGCTTTCTAAGCGAAGAAGAGCTGATTATCTATTGCAGAAATAGAAACAATTTTAAATTCGCGACCTTTGACGCAAATAACCGAAGACTCCGAAGAAATTCTTCGCCCAATCGATTTTATAAATCCATCATCTAAAATTGGTAGACCTTACAAGAAAATAGTGATGTAGAGGATGAAGATTACATGCCGGGAAAAACAACATCAGCGGAAGAAAAATTAAAAAATCTATGGAAGAGAACGAATCGCTGTTTGGATCGATATCTGGGAACAATGGCATCGAAACTATCTCTTGAGGTTGCGAGAAAGGTGGGAAACGGAGCAGCGACAAAAACGAGGAACAACAAGAGGAGAGCCAGAAATAAACGAAGTGGTTCTAATAATGGAAGATGAAGTTCCACGCGGGATATGGAAAATGGGGGTAATAGAAGGTCTGACACTTGGAAGAGAAGGAGCGATTAGAACGGCTACGGTGAGGATAGCCAATAATCGCAAGTTGGTGAGACCAATAAATCTTCTGATACCGCTAGAAGTAAAGAATGAAGGATGCCAAAGCAATGTTTTATAAGAATTTATCACGTGGACGAAATGATGGCGCCCGGAGTGCCGTGTCAAAACATGAAAAGTGATAGATAAAATTTGTTCTCGAATGTTGTATTTTGTCCTTTTGTGTGTATATATAAAAA